TGGCTTTTGCCACTAAATTATTTTTGAGGATCCCGTATTATATGAGTCCCGGCTTCGACGTTTATCCTGCTATGACAGCCGCTTATGTAAGTTTATTAGTGCAATTGCAAATGGAAAACTTAACGCTTTCACTAATTTGCGTCATTGTTTGTTCACCTAATCAGAGATAAGAATTAAGAAAAAGAATATACTATAAATTATAAATTATTATTATAAATTATAATAACTTATAATTTGTAATAATAATTTATAATTTATAATAATCCGACATGAACTGATCTGTATGTTGAACAGCAAAAAAACGAAAGTTTATTAGTAGAAAATAATTAATATTGATTTTGATAAATATTTTTAATTGGGAGCATTTTATTTGAAAAAGACGTTAAAAGTAATTGATTTATATTGCAGATCCTAAGTGGCGTCGTGGGATTATTACATGGAGCAGATGCTTATTTGTCTTATGTGCATTACAAAACTGGAAGATGAATTATGATAATTACAGGAATATTAACTGTATATAATTTTGCAATGAGATGTGGCAATTATGTAATTGTCTATACTGTTAGTAATGTTAATTCTGGAGCACGAATCTCTTCGAAAAGGATTGAATGTTAAATTGGGGGAATCGATTTTATGTATTAATAATATATTAATATCATAAAATATTAATTATAATAATAGTTACTAATTAATAGTATTATTTGACTTAATTAAAAATAATATTATTACACTGCCATTAGTAATATCAATAAAGTCAATATAATGTTAATAATGTCAATAAGTTGTATACATATAGGTACATTTAGTTATAATAGATTAATAATTTGAAATTGCGCATATTACTCTGCCACTTCTATAAATTTTTTTTAGTAAAGATATTTTTTTTAATTACTTAAATATGATAAGTCGAAAGCAAATCGATTTATGGATTATGAATTATGAAATCGTAGCATCTATTTGTAATATTGCTTATCAATTTCAGGCGTATTTTACGTATACTTATTAAATTAATATTCCGTTGACATTTGGTACGTCATAATGCTATCGCATTTATGTGCATGATATAAAAATGGATAGTATTTAATAAATAATCGATGATTCATCTTGAGACTTATTCAGTTTTATTACGTTAATGTATACGTGATATGAAATAAACATTGATAAGAAATATGATGAGGGTATTGAATTAGTCACTTTGACGTATTATTTCCAAATATTAATAACAAGCTACATTTTTGAAAAAATCAAATCTGAAATTAATAACAGTTAAAATACATCAGACAACAAATAATATTTTAATTATATGTGAGTAACGTTTAATAAAAATATGAAAACATAAATAAGATTTTATAAAAATTGTCGCGTATATGTAGAAGCATTATTAATTTCACTAAAAAATGTTTTTAATTTACACTTGCAAATACACCAAGTATAATTTATTTTTATAATTCACAATTGCAAGAAATAGATAAAACTTGAAAAGTTTAATATTATTTTAAAATTATTAAACTTATTATTAAACAAAATATTAATAAATTTAGAAGACGACTTCAATTAATGGATTAGTTTTTTTCTATACGAAAACTGTTTACATATTTATTAGTTGTATCTTACATTCCTTTTTATTACAAACTATATATGTATGAAGAGTTTCAACTCGTACCTGGGCACACTTGGACCCGAGATGATGAATGAGAATAACACGGATCTCGTAGTCCTCGCGACGTATTGACTTCTCTCTCTTTCTCCCCTCCCTTCTCTCTCTCTCTCTCTCTCTCTCTCTCTCTTTCTCTCTCTGTCCTTTTTAAATCTTGTACACGTCCATTTCACTTCCTCAAATGTCCTCCCCCTTCTTTACAGTTGCTGTGTTCTTTTCCTTGCTTCGACTGTCGTTCGGCCTTCCCTTCCATCGCTTTCATTGGCGCCTCGCCGAGCATATCACTCGACCGCAGACGTATAGCTCAGTTTACCTCAAAATCTTGATCCGAGTAACATGTTAGGGAATCGGAAGAACTCGAAACCATATTTACTCGATTCTTGTTGATCTTTCTTACTCTGTTAGCTTAGATAACCTAAAATAAGAAGTAGAAGAAATTAGAGGCTGTTTTCTTTTATTGGCAAAGGATGGAAGCACACGTTAGAAATGTGAATGACAGCATCAACACTGCACCGACAGAAGGTAGTAAAAAATAATTAAAGAGTATTTCATATTACTATTTAACGATGATTCTAATTATAAGTTATAAGAGTTTAAGCTGAGAAGTTTTTTGATATCATGTATTAAATAAGTGTAAATAAACATGTAAATTTGTATAAATATTGCTAATCATTACAAAATGTATGTGTTTAGTTGCTAAATTAAATAGATATTTAATAAATAATAATTAATTAAATAAAAAGTTAGTTTAATACTTACAGTATCAAACTAACCCCAAATTCTACAGATTTATGCATGTATAACAATTATTACTGTTGCAAAAAATGAAAATAATAATATTAAATAATAATATTCGAAATCTCAGAAGAAAATAATTATTAAGGATAAATCTAAATTTTTACTCAAACGACTCTCTTAGAGAAAGCTTTCTATCATATCGAAAAGTTTAAAAAATGATAGCCGATAAAGACGTTTCTTCAACAATAAACAGTTATTCATAATAATGTTCAATTGTATGCACGGTTATATAAGTGTGCTCAGTTATTATACCGTTATAAAAACAATAAAGAGAACGAATGCCTATTTTGCTTTGAAAATATTGGCATTCTCGTTGACAGCTTAATTGTTGGGAACTAACAACGAAGTGCATAATACACATGCTTATGTAGATATTATTTATCAAATGTCAATCACGGCCGCATAATTATATAAAATTGTTTGTGTCTTATCAATTTTTCAATCAATCTTAATATCGATTCTTTGTTCCTCATTATTTAATCGATCTTTTCAAATTTAATTGTCACAATAATTTCTAATATTCTATTCAATATGTGATGATACGCGATAATATTATTACAAAATCTTAAGAAGATTAATATGCAAAGCGAGTGAAAATGCATGAATCAGTGAAAGTAAACATTTGTAATAACTAACGTAGATTCTCATTTTCATTGTTTTATAAATTCAATTTATTTAATAAACATTATCAAATTCGAAAACATAAAAATATGTATTAGATGTGGATGCATTGTGTATTTGTCAAGAACGATCAAAGATATGGGATCATGATATGACAATGAAAGTTAACGATGCAAAATGTGAAGACTGAAGGAAAGAAAAATTAACGTAGGAACGTTAAAGTAACATACTAGACAAAACAAGATAGCATTCAGCATTCGCAAGATCTCTAATTAATTCTTACCGAGACCTTGAGAGACTAGTAACTTGCCATGCTTATAACAAATCAGATTGTCAATGAGTTGGATCGTAAACGCATGCGAGCATTCCGATAAATGAGCCCGTCGTTGAGTTGTACATTGTGGAATTGCATCATGTAAGTTTCATGCCGATGTTGCGATCTGAACTGAGAAAGCTGACAAGTAATGATCGCGAAAGTGACTCAAATAAAAACCGGTGACTCGAGATAAATTTCGTAAAGACACAGCTGAATGAGAAATACTCTTTTAGAAAAATGCCGTACGTTATACGGAGAGACATAAGCCAACTTTGCGATACCTGTTCAATAATTTTGAAAATTGCTATTATTTCTTTATTTTTTAATAGTTATGAATCCTTAATATGTATTTATATACTTTTGTCTCGAAAAAATTATTTCTAACATTTTTTGATAAAAATTTACTTAAATTGATGTATTTTTAGCTTCTTGTACGTAGCTTTTTTAAATACTATTATATATACAATCGAACCATTGCTGTAAAAGCAAAATATACAATATTTAGGTCAAATGCATTGTCATCATAAATGACATCAAGCGAAATATAATGTCACGATAAAATGCAATCATGCAAAATTTTTTTAATATCATAATTATAATTTAATTTATTAATTTAATTAATTAAATTTTTTAAATACTATAATTTTTTTTAATATAATTTTTATTCAAGTGCATTTTCCTTAGTTTTTATGTGCGTTCAGCATATTTTTAAAAAAGATAAATGTATATGCTTTTACATCTTTAAATGCTTTAAAATAGACTCAGCCGTCTGTGTAGAATCTTGCCTTTCAATTTATAATAATAATTTGTTTTTTAATGTATAATACATTTTAGTGTATAATACATTCAGCTTTAAAGATAAATAAATAATTAAGTATAAAAAAGCTAAGCGATAAGAGAGTTACAGAAATTGATGATGGTTCTGACAAACATAATGTGTATTGTTCACGGTGGAGTTTGATAAAGAAAATTCTTTTTTTATATTCATTCTTTTTTATTACAAATCACAAAAGTATCAAAATCATTTATCACGTGGACAAATCTGATTTGCATGTGTCGTACAATACTATGTGTGCACAAAATTTTTACAAATGTGTGCATTTATTATTAAACAATCAGCAAATTGACTAAATATTAATTGAATAATACACAAACATTAATTGAATAATGACAATAATAAATTCATCTGATTTCATATTGTATAATAAGAAAGTATAACCGTTCCAAATTTTATGTTTCTCATACTTTTGAATCGGACATTTTAATGTAACAAATCTTTCGTAATTTACGTAAAGCTTAACGAGAAGAATAATACAAATAAATCGTTAATTTTAATCTTAATTTTTTCTAATTACAACTTTGACTATATTTTTCTGTATACTATATCAAATTCGAGATTTATAGTATCATTTTACTTTAATAGTATTTTAAATGTATAATTTATTTGCATACTGAAAAAAATGTTTGATTATAAATTGAAATTTTGGTTGAAAATGGACAAATCCGAATTTTCTAGTTAAATTTACAAGAATTTTAATTGAGATACAATCAGAATTTTCATCGATTTTCCGAACATTTTTTTCAATACAATGATAATAAATAATAACATGAAAAAGCAACACGTGAAATTTATCAGAATTAGAGCAACATGATTTCAACAAACACAAGCATATAGCATAGTGGAAACGCCTCTCGTCTAAGGTTGCTCGTCTCTGATTAATGTGGCATACTAGCATGTTAAGAGTACCTTTCTCTAGGAAGCAGAATAATTCTATTAATAACTCATGAAAAACTGTTACGCGATAGTGAACAGAAAGATTGAAAATTGTAGACAAGCATGCTCAATCTACGTAAAACTAATTCATATAAAAATTCTTGAGAAGAATATTACTTTTACATAATAGAACTAAGAAAAATGTCTATTTCAACAGCAAATATCAACTTACCAAAATATTTTATTGTTTATTTTCGATACAAATGTTACAGTTTAAAATAATATTCTTGTTGTTAATATTAAAATTTTAAATAATTAAGTAAATTAAATATATATTGTATATAACAAATTAAATTATATAAATATATTATGTAATTAAAATAAAATATATTTAATAATTCAAATTTATAAGTCAAATATAAATTTAATATTAATTATTGATTGTATAAAATAAAAAAAGATATAATTATTTAATACATTGAAGTTGATTCATTCTAAAAATTTATATGATAGAATTATTATTAGTTGTGTTTAAAATATCAATGCCACACAATCGTAGAACAAGTTTTTTATGTCCACTATATATTTGCATAAGAGACACGATGCTCTTATCAGGTATCACGTCACTGTATGATCCTTGACGTTCCATCATTGGCATGTTTTCTTGTCTCTAGATACATTCAGTTCTTTTCTTATGAATATAATAAAATGCGTGCTAGTTAAAAAATATCTATAGAACAGCCTTTGCCATTGCGCATAACTTCCACATTTTTATTAATATAAATACGAGCTGCTCATTTTTAACATTTTTTTTTAATGTTATTTTTCTAGTGTTATCTTTTATTAAGAATTTATTCACACGGAATAAAACAAAAATTCGTACGAAACAAACGACTTTTTCTCGCATAATGCAAAACATGTAGAACTGTGCATTTGAAATACTTTTATTCGAAAAATATTACTTGTAAAACAATTGTATTTTATATTTAATGTTTTATCGGAGCACATAAAAATATTGTGTATTTTGTATTTCAGATTATTATGAAAAATTGATAATATAAAAGTGTTTTATATTTTGTATTTTAAATACTGAGATTGACAATTAATCTTACAAAATACAAAAAACTTTCAATCTTTCGATTTTAAATAAAAAGTACATAATATTTTCATGTGCTCCGTTGAAGTGCAAAATACAAAATACACTTTTGTAACATTATAATATGTTTTAAATAAAAGTATTTACATGCAATAAATACAGTAAATACATGCCCAGCCCTAAAAGCATTGCCAAACGTTTCTTAAATGATTCTTTCAGCGTACATGCCTACGTCAGAGACATCCTTCACTGTCGAGGAAGAGGACGCGTTAGTGACGTTGATAGTTGTTGTGTTCGGCATCATCGTTGCCATGGTGGTGCTGTTCTCGATGGGTATCTTCATAGATTGCAGACACCAGTACGTTAACGATGATCCTTTTTCAAAAAATTTGCATCTTATTGATTAAACAATTTTGACAAATAACAGCAAAGATATTGTTCATTAGTATGTATGCAACAGAAAACTCTCTTATTTAGATGATGTAAACTTAACGATAATATATTCACGTTATAAAAGAACATTTTGTAGAACGATAATGTGTGTGTGTGTATGTGTGTGTGAAAGTAATTATTAATTATCGTTACAACGGACATTATTGCAGAGAGAAAGATTCTATGAAGAGAAAAAAACTGAGACTGAAAATGTTGCCGTTTGCACGAAGAGGCCGGAAAGATGACATGAAAGCCTTAGCTTCAAATATATATCCCAATGGTGTTACTGGGTCCAAGGAGACGGATGATGTAGTTTGATATAATAAAAATTATTGGAAATTCGTAAGAATTATGATAGATATTTCATAAATTCTTTATATAAATTTAAGATTTGCGAGTCTAATGATTAGCTTATAGTATTTAATATTAAAATGTGTGAAAGTGTGTTGAAACTCTTTCTATAAGGAGGGAAAATACAATAAATTCTTCACATTCTTTTGATCTCCTTTAGCAAGGTAAATCTATATAAAAAATAAATTATGCCGTGTCCGAACGTTTTATTGAATAGGTCTTGCAATAATAGTATTTTTTACTATTAGGTGTTGGAATTAATTCGTAGCGTTTTATAATGAAAGAATGTTATTTATTTCACATGAGCATTAAAAAATACATTAATGAAAGTACTTCCCATCACTTGTAAAACGCTACGAATTAATTCCAACACCTAATATATAAAAGAATCCTACACTAAGGTATGTACTGTAGGTATAACTTATTTTTTATATATAAATTTATCATGCTAAAGGAGATCAAAATCTTTGAAAAATCTGTGTTTCCTCCTTACTTTTCAAAGAGATATTATTATTATTTATGAAAGATATGTGATTTTATAATACGCACTTTCTAAACAGAATTAATAAACTCGAAATAGTGGACACGACTTATTATTAATAACTCTTTAATATCATACTATACGTTTTGTCAAGGAAATAGAACTAGGTATTGTGTAAAAATATTGCATAAAAATGAATTGCAACGAGGTTTTCTCCAATCAAAACGCCAACAAATGTTAAAATATATAACGACAATAAGTAAAGTATCCTTATTAATAAAAAAATTATATAACGTAAGAGTATGCTATATCGAAAGTAGTAGATTAAAGTTATGAATAATACACTTATTTTCCGTAATAAATAATGTAATTAGACAACTAGTTCATAATATATAAATAAAATAGTCACGAAAATTATTTATTTAAAAAATACGGCTTTTAATAAAATAAGATGACGTCAACATCAGTAAGCAGCATTTTTTATGCTTCTATTTTGGTCAGAGAATGTGCAGTTCCTCAAATACAGGATGTATTGGAGAATTCGCTTAATATATGCGAATCCTCAATACGTAATATCGCTCATATGTGTCCTTTTCTCACTCTCGATAAATTCCATTCACGTTTACAATAAAATAAAACCGTAAATGTATACTAAATAAAAATTAAAATATCTAAATAAATATAAAAATTTAAATATTATTAATACGAATCCATCTTAAACTGTTGCAGAATATGTAAACTATACATTACTTATTGAGAATTCATGACATATATGTTTCTTACTGTGATTTACAAACTATTATTTATTATTTATGTAATTAAATTTATTAAATAGCCGCATTTGCGATTATACCAAATCTGAACTTCCGACATTTGCTAAAAATAATTAGCATTTAATTTCTTATAATGTAGAATCATATATTTTTAATAAAAGCTAATATAAGAAAGTAAAATTGCACATGAAAAAATTTGATAAATTACTATTTTAATAAAATTCCATCATAAAATATATATTTTTTGTAATAAGTTAGTAGCATTATTTGTGTGTAAAAATAAATGTAGTTTCTCATACATTTAATTTAATATCAAAATTTGCTCACACATACTATTTTTTAAAATAGGTTGATATATAGCTGCATAAATATTTTATAGTTGAGATGAATATTAAATAAGAATAACGAATTATAATACTGATAATATTTATAGTCAAATATCGCGAAGTACGATATCTTTATTGTTTTCTAGCTATATAATGTAACACAGTTCAGTGTTGACAGGTTGTAAAAAATTTTTAACTACAGAATCTTTTATGGGGATCAGGTACGCGTAAAACATTTTATGCTAAACTTAACTGTGATCTCAAAGTATCTGTATTCTGTTTACATTGCTAACATTGTAGGATATACCGGTTACTTAAAAAAATATTTTCAAATAAAGTTATACATTACCAGCGTTAAGCGTTTTTCACGCCAAAAGTGCTATTTAAATTGTTATGATTGAACCAACTGTGAAAGTTATATTTATCTATAAATGAATATCATGTATTTTGCTCATCATGTACATAAATATTAGAAATATAATTAAAAGTTGTTTGTATATAAATCCGTTTTGTCATTTTCTATTAACTATTACTAACACTTATCATTAATTCTAATTTAGATTTAGCTTAATAACAGTATACATTTTTTAAAAATATAATCAATTCAAACACACACGCGAGCGTGCAAATTATGCATAGCATGCATTGTATACACATATTGTATACGATTTTCATATTTTATGTATGTATAAAATAATAAAAAATTCTTAGTGTTAGTTAGAAACATAGATTGCGTTTAAGAAAACGAGATAAAAACAAAGTTACAAATAGTACTAATAGCATTTCTTTCAACGTACTCTATGTTTCACATTATTAAATAAGAATTTTTTATTATTCTTAAATCTTGTAGCCGAAACATGTAGTTAGATTTATTTGTAGGCATTTGTAAGCATTTAAATTAATTATGTAATTTATATTTTTTATCTTTTATACATGAATTTCGTATCTTTAATTATATATACAATCGTAGAAAAATATTAAAAATACAGATTTGTTAGGAAATCAATGAGTTTAAAAATTCATATGTTTTTGTGCCATGCAGCCAATTTTGTTGTCAGCCAAAGATGTTGTCTTATTTGTCAAAGTATATCTTCAATATCCATCATTTTATAAAATAATTTCTGTAACTCAATTTTGATTTTCTTAGTCATCAAGGGGAATGTTCAAGCTTTAATTTAAGTTTGGTCCATCTCAATGCAATGATTTTTCATTATCGCTATTCGAAAATATTAAAAATTTGTACTAAAATTTAGTTGCCTGTTTTTTTTTGTCGATAAATGTAATTACCAAATAACAAATATTTATAAAATTTGGTATTGTTATAAAATTTACACTTGAAAACGTATTTTTGTGAGTGTATGTGCCAGACCATCATCGTCTAAATGTGATTCGTTATACTTAATGTTCCGCAAATTAAAAAAAATTGAAAGACATTGGTATATATGTAGTACACATATACATTGAAATATGTAATATATAATATTGAAAAGCTCCAACAAAAATATATATTATTTTTTAATATAAATCTCCAATCTTTAAAAATATATCTTTAAAAATTGGAAAATTGTTATACAAAATAAATTTTTATTTTGTATATTGCATTTTGTTTGTGTCTTACAAGGAATTATTATATATGCATTTTATACTGTTAAAATATACATTGCTAATTATTATTATTATAAAAAGTTCAAAGAAATATACAAAATTGGAAAAATTTTGTGGTGTAAAACTATTGTCATTTGGCGCTTACAACGCTCGCAAGTTTCAAAGTTTCAAGATTTTGTACCATAAAATTTTTCTAACTTTGTATATACTATTTTGTTATTATTATTTCAGTATTATTAAAATTAGAACAACAGATTGTTGAACCTTAATTGTTTATCGGAAAACGAATTTATAATTTAAATATTATAATATATTTTACGTATTAAAGTTAATGAATTATGAAAAATAGTTTTCAAAAAATTTTGTGGCAATATATACTATTTTTCTTTGTAAAAAATTAACATGTGTATGTAAAAAATGTCTAAATTACTTTAATAAAAAGTAATTTAAAAATGGAAATCGCTTCAAGAAAACCTTTGTTAACAAATTTAAAAAAATTCGTAAGAACTACAATTTATAGTGTCTCGTGCTTTAGTTTGTACTCTTTTACGAATCTAATTATCTACTCAGCTTGTCTGACAAATAATGTTTGCTAGCGTTATGAACGCCAAATGGAGCCTTATTCGTACGCACAGTGATGAATCGAAGTTGGTAACTGAAGATTATCATAGTCGCACGATTGGAATGCCAAAATGATATTCAGCTTGACTCTCTCAAGTTGCATCACAGAAGAAATGTTGTGTATTTTCCTTAGCGCAATCGTTTATCTCCTTCAGCAGACACTTTGATTCACAAATGACTTATTAAGATTAGATGCGTCCGAGGACCATGGCCAGCAATGCCATACGCACGTAGACTCCGTTTTCCGCCTGCCGGAAGTAAGCCGCCCGTGGGTCAGTATCGAATTCTTTGCTTATTTCGAAAACACGTGGTAAAGGGTGCATCACTGCCATCTTCCTCTTTGCACGAGACATCAGCTGCGGAGTTACTATGAAGAATCCGCACATCTGTTGTACATGTAATGATTTTTTTAAAACTTAAATTAATGTGTCAAAATTAATTTAAAAGCAAATATTGAAGTAAAAGCGTTATTCGAAGTAAAATGAATATTTAATTTCAAACATCAATAATAATTTCAATAATTTTATATAATTTCGGATAGATAATGTAATAATTTTCTAATAAAAATATGAATTATTAAAAACCTAATTCGTACAGAATTTCATAATAAAAGAAGTACACGATCGCGTATAGAATGTACTTGCTTTCTTACGAAAATTTCAATGTTCAAGTAACGACTCACCTTGTGATATTGTTCTTGCGTAGCGAAACGCTCATTTTGTATTCGCGTTATATAAAGTACGTCGGTATCGGGTAGAGCCTCTTCCAGAGTTGAAAATCTTTCTTGAGAGATACCACGTTCAGCCACATAATTAACGACATGATTCGGCATGTCAAGGCCAGGTGGATTGACGTAGCGAAGTTCTACGTTGTATAGGGTTAGTAGTCTACATCAGAATATTAAAAAATGATACGTATTAAAAGAAAATATCTTTGCTTCAATAAAATGTTATAAAGGATAATTACATTGTTTGAAATAAAAATTAATTGTAAAGTTTACGATTATACGAATTAAACTTGTTATTTAGAATCAAATAACTTCTTCGATTTTTATTGCCAGTTATAAATATATTGTTCTTAATAAACATATTTGAACGTTTATATTTTCTTACTAAAAATACATTCAAAATTCTATTAATATATTGAAATTAAATTTATAGATTGCGTATGTAATTTTGTTTGAAGAAACAAA